TCGTGTTCATCCCTAGAGCTAAACACAAACCCCAGCGAACCATAGCCAAGTCCGGGTCCGCCGAAGACGCCTGTGAAGGCGTATCACTGGCGGAGTGCTTGGGCTTGGCCATAATGGTCTAACAAGGGTGGGTAAAAATATAAGTAAATAAAAGTTTACTCACTCGTTTTAACATTGGAAGATTCTCATTATCAGCCTCATTTATGGCCGTTTGTTGCAGCATAGGTTTTCCAAGCCCATACTCCACCACTAGGCACACTGCAAAGACCACTAAACAAAACGAATGTTTCATCTTTCTGGTCACTGCTTCAGTGCTGAATGGATTCCGAACTTCTCTTTATATACCCTATGTTTGCATGTCGACGGGAACCTTTGACAAACAATAAAACAACTTCCTGTAGATGAACACGAATCCTACAAGATAAAAATGTAATAATAGCGATGATAAAATTAATTGCGTGTCACTACCATGTCAGGCAATACGCAGATCCGAAACGAGAGCCTCATCTTGGCAATTACTTGGTTATTATGGAACTATGCTAAGCATAAACTGCATTTTTCAACTTCTGAAATGATAAACATCTTGGTCGACATTAGAATTGTTGTGTTTAATTTTCATCACGCAATCAAGGGTCGCGTAGTTTCACGAGTGAAGTTATTTTAATTTGAAAATAAATAATGATTCCAAAGACATCAATCTACTATAGATATCATTGAATGATTCACAGCATTTAAATGATAATATAAGTTAGTAAGGGTACCACAACACCTGCATTAGCTTCTGAGTAGGTACTTTATTGTATAGGTATCTGAAAATTTGCTTGTAACAATTGACATGCTTAAGACCTGTGCAAACATAGAAGTAACCAGCGGATATTGCTATAAATTCACAAATCAAAATAGACGTAAATTAATGTGCTATTACGTGAACGCAGGGAAGGTTGTAAAATAGCTGAGCTGATTTTTTAAAATGTAGATTAATAAAATAAATAAACGGAATAGCAAATTAATTTACTTCCATTTTTATTAACATGGATACCCGCAAGTAAGGCCTGAATCCAGTGGCGGTCTTGGCCGTCCTAGACCCCAGGCCATATAGTCAGTATCAGTCGCCCCTTTCTCAGCACTCATCGTATACTGGTAGACTACCTACATAATCAATTTACTTTATTGCCAACTTTTATCGAAAACGATTCAGAAATTTAGTTAACTATAATAGCTGATGGTTTTAATCTTTTCGGAGTATTCAGATTTAAATAAAACAAAATGGTTTTAGATTTTTTAATAGTGAATTTTTTGTCACGATTGGCCGCCCGGTCCCTAAAATCTGGCCGCTCTAGGCCCGAACCTACTGGGCCTTAGGGCAAATCCGCCACTGCCTGAATGTATTGCAATAGTAACTCATGAATTAGCGGCCTTGCAATTTGAAAAATTGAAAATATATATGAATTGCCATTTATTTCAGTTGTAAATATTGATCTAGTAAGTAGCTGACTACTTAGTCCCTCCGGAAATCTAACGTGGGTTTCACAAACGTAGAAAGAAAATCTTTTTTCTCGTTTTACTCTTATAACTTGTTTATCAGGATATTTACAGTAGAAAAATAAAGGAAAACGTAGTAAAAATGAGAAAACGAGGCATATCAAGTACTTTCATGTGTATAGTTCAATGACCTTCAAAGCACCATTGTAAAATTGTTTTAAATACAATAAAATTAAAATGGGAAATCTATTTAACAACAATAATAAAAAATATATGGTAAAAATAGAAAGTTATAGATTTTGAAGTGGCCAATTTCAAACGAAATTAAAAAAAGGTTCGTATTCTAACGAAAAGAAAAAACAAATCTTGTGTAGGTGTGTAGGTTACCTACTATATAAACTAAAGTCGCTAATTATTATTATACACATTACTAAACACTAACTTCGGTCGTTGTGCGTATCGGATACATGAAGGCGCAGCCGACGCGAACCCACTTTTGTAGCAGTTAATAAATAAAAAAAACTAAATACTTGACAATATTTTTTTCAGAGGTATACCGCCCACTTGTGTTGAGTGAGAGTGAATTTAGGGAGTCACCACACTTATCGACACGGAATCTCATTAAGTCGGACGAACAAAGTTTAAAGCGCTCGTAAACGAGCTAATAAACAAATTTATCCTTCAAACCTCACGATTTCGTCAACCAATGTCGCAAACGCTAAAATAAATCATCAAACAAGTTTCACAAACTTGCCTATAGTTCACACCCCTGTCACTCTTTCTAAGTACCGTACTAAAGTTTAATATAATGAATAATAATTGTCTCTTTGTAATTTGTACAATGAGTAAGAATACGGAAAAAGAAATCTACGTTGATCTAGAATTGTTGAAATTATAACAAAAATATATCCACGAAAACTTGTTAAAAGAAATATTGCGCACAGAACTGGACGACTTTAAAGAATCTAGTAAGGTGAACGCTTAGGCGACAACTAAAGTAGAGTTTGACAAAAATACTTTCAAATACCTTCAAACACACACACCTTCAACCACACCTTCAAATATGTTTGTCAAACACGCCGTCAATCTAGACTATAATTAAATTAAATTCTTCATTGTATTTACCATAATGTTATGTTAATGTTAA